ATTATATATAAATACATTTATATATATATATATATAATATATAAGTTTATATGCACGTAGCCTCTTGTATACTTTAGCTCTAAGTACACCCAAAATAGTGATATTATCGCATATTATATTTAAGTCGGTGACAGGTACAAATTCGTCTAAGTTGTCACCGATTCTGCATGTGTATTGAACATAGACATGGGTTTCGGTAGTTTATTGTTAGCAGCAGCATTTATAAAAATAGTTAGGGCTGCTGACATTTATTTGACTCATTAACCATTGAGTGGCTCATCGAATTTTGAGTACCGAAGAGGCGGTCCCCGCCAGAACACACGAGCACGGGAATAGACTAGCCAAAGACACTCAGAACAGGTTTAGTTAGCAACAAGCAAAGTTTGAATAATATTGTGTGACATATCTGAATCAAATAGAACCTTAATGTTTATTCAGCATCGCTTTTGCGCTCCTTCCGCGTCATTAACAGCACTATTTAAGAGACAATAAACTATTAGTCTTTGCAACAGAAGTGGGACGCACACTTCATATTGCGATGACTGTTGTTGAACCAGCGCTGGCATTTTCTGTTGTTCTTGACTTTCTTGTTATACTTGTCCTTGCACACATCCTGGTTGTTGTCCTTACATGTTAGCCATTCGGACTTCGGCTCCTCACGACACTCAGCAATCTCACATCCATCTTCAACCAGTGTGAATCCCCACTGGCAGTACATCTCAAATTCCATCTGGGGCTTAGCTGCAGGGCATGATTTGGGTCGACACTCCGGAAGTTCACATCCATCGTGGCCAGTCTTATATCCATTCTCACATGGTGACCCGCACGGAATCATGTCATGGCACTGATCGGGTGTGCAACACAAAACCATCGGGTCAAATGTTGACCAAGAAACTCCATGGGGCTTGATTCGGACATCCTTAGCTATTTCGTTGTATTTAAAACCTACTGGACATTCATTATCTTTGATCCACTTCTTACACAACTTGAAACTGCTGGTTCCGGAGGAACCAGCCATGGCAACAGCCGAAGCGCTGGCGAGGACGAGTGTGGTGGCAAATAACTTCATTTTAGTAGAAAGGCAGTTATATAATTGGTGTTTGTTAGTGTTCAAGCGATACTTTCTGAATGTTCTGGCATTTATACATGATTTTGTCAACGCTTAAATACGCATTCCCAATCAACATATCTGATGAATGTCAAACTATTCATCAGGCAATACATTACAGTTTTCTGATATCTTGAGTCTGACCCATAAATAGAATAAAATTCTAGCGGCTAGCTTCCAAGTAGTTCGAAACTTTGGGGGTTGACATGACCCTCTGCCCTCTGCCCTCTGAATATAGTCTCTTGAAAACTAGCTTGATACGGAGAGTCGGAGACAATCCTGGATACATAAACGGCCATGATTATTATTTGACTGTTTGGTGAGTGTTTACAATGAGTAGTTTCGCTGTTTCAAGCATACATCGCACACGAGTTGCAAGTAGTAGAAATATAGATCGGAGCAGGAGTAGATTTCAATGTTTGCTATATTTAATTTGAATCCTATTGAGTCTATTGACTTTATTCATGTTATATATTTTATGCAGAAGCACCATAAAGTTTTAACTGTTTTATGCTAGCCATTCCGAACTGGTTCCCACTGGTTCCCAGTTCCCAACTTCCCACTGGTTTATTTTAAAAATATCCGTTTATATCGACTGGCTCATTTGAGCCATTACATACTATAGTTTTTTTTGTTTAAAAAAAACAAAAGAGAGAAACAAGTAGCTTCTGTTTTAAGTTTTCTGTATTTATTTTTAAATAGTCCTATTTACAGGCGCCTCACAGGTTCACACTCTCTGGCCAGACTTCAATTCGTACTTCACTTTTGGTGAAAACGTAGTACGTTTTACGTTAACGCGTCAATTTGCGTGTTTACGTATTACGAATTGAAGTCTGTCTGGCTCATCAGGCTGTCACAATCTATTTCGGTTTCCATGAAGGCTTTATAGTTTATAAATAGTTTATGCAGTCTACAGGACTCTCACTTCATATTTATTTTAAAAAATAGTTAAAAAGGTTTGTTTTTTTAAGCGTTTTAAAGTATATCGGGGGCAAATCGACCTTGTATTTTTTTTTCAAATTTGCACCTGAGAAATTGACCTTTTTTTCCTGAAAAGGCGATTTGAAACTTATCACAACCGGGACAATGGGAAAAATAGGACAATTCGTGACAGTTGGGCCGCCTCAAAAAATGAACCTATTTGTAAACCCATAGGACTATATTTAGGATAAACATTTAACGTAAACACATTTTTCTGTTTTATTTTTGCGTTTTAACGGGAAACGTAATGAGGTTTGCTTCCCGCTCTTGTGCCATTCAAGACCAGTGTAATTTCAAACTTTACAATATCCAATTTTAAGACTTGTGTATTGTGTGACTGTCTGACTGAGTGATAAGTGATGACAGTGATGAGTGATGAACTGAAGATAAATGATAAGTAATGGCTCATTCTCGAGTAGCAACTAGCAAGTATACTTTAAACTACAAAACTCTGTTGTCCAGACATAAAGTCCAGACTCCAGAATATAGCGTCAGCAACACTTTATGAACTATAATACTTTATGAACCAGGCAGCAGTGACCGGATCAAGCATTTTATGTTCTATTTTAGTCTTTTGTTTTTTTGTCGTTCGCGACGTTGTATTATACAGCCAACTTGACTCAACACTTTGAAGTAGGAAGTGTGAATTGCGAACTTGTGAAGTTTGTAAGATACACACGATACATCAATCAAAGATACATCAGTGATTCTCGCATAAAAAAACATGGCTACCATCTGTGTAGTACAATGAATATAATTCTTTCCAATGTAAAGAGTTTTTCATTCAGTGGAACTATTCGTATATAAGTGTATAATTTTGATAGTGAAATATTATATTCTACAAATATACGAAAAAGAAAACACGATCAACTGCAAAATATCATCACTGAAATGAAGTTCTTTACCACTACTCTCGTCTTCGCCAGCGCTTCGGCTGCTACCATGGCTTTCTCCTCCGAGAGCAGCAGTTTCGAGTTGTGTAAGAAATGGATCAAAGATAATGAATGTCCAGTAGATTTTAAATACAACGATTTAGCTAAGGATGTCCGAATCAAGCCCCATGGAGTTTCTTGGTCCACATTTGACCCGATGGTTTTGTGTTGCACACCCAATCAATGCCATGACATGATTCCGTGTGAGTCTCCATGTGAGAATGGATATAAGTCTGGCCACGATGGATGTGAACTTCCGAAGTGCCGACCCAAATCATGCCCTGCAGCTAAGCCCCAGATGGAATTTGAGATGTACTGCCAGTGGGGATTCAAACTGGGTGAAGATGGTTGTGAGATTGCTGAGTGTCGTGAGGAGCCCAATTCCGAATGGCTAACATGCAGGAACAATAACCAGGATGTGTGCAAGGATAAGTATAACAAGAAAGTCAAGAACAACAAAAAGTGTCAGCGCTGGTTCAACGACAGCCATCCCAATATGAAGTGTGCGTCCCACTTCTGCTGCAAAGAGTAGATGGTTTATTGTCTTTCAAATAGTGCTGTTAATGTCGCGGAAGGAGCGCGAATGCAATGCTGAATAAATTTGATTCCGTTATGTCACAAAAATTTCCATCATTATCCAAATTGAAATCAACATATGTATTTATAGTGTATTTTTGGCTCGTCTATGCTGATGTTTGAGTGTTCTGGTGACGATTGCTTCCTCGGTCCTCACAAGCCGCTCAGTGGTTCATGACTCGATGAATGTCAGCGAGCCTAGCCACATTAATACTGGCTTCTGCTGGCAATGAACTACTGGATTTCAAGTGTATCTTCAATATAGGCAGAATCTGTGACACTTTGTACAAAGAGGATACCTGTCACCGACAGTGCCTTCTGGATTCAGTGCGCAGAACAATCTTGACCGACATATATTAGGGGTAGATTTTATAGTGTCCGCAAATATCTATTAAACCAAGGGCCCGGTTGTTGGAGCATACCAACCACGAGAACAGCTTCGAAATATACAAAAAGTGGGTCCAAAATTACAAATGCACTAGGTGCTCCGCGTAACTATATAGGACTAGTCAGAGAATTGTGGTGTTAAAATAGAGTCTGCATCCAATCATTTGTCTAAACTTGTACTGCATGCATAATGCAGGGTCTACCTGGTTTTGTTCTGAGAATTCGTATTGAAACAAAACATGCAGCATATTGCTTTAGATTCTCAAGAACACCGCGTGCTTTTCTGCTTGTCAACTTCCTATTCGTCTTTTAAACGCCTGTCTATATATTTCGCACAGTAGCCACGATCAGCAAATAAAACTATCCGTATGTCTAACGGGGGTTGCTATTTATAATGTACGCATAAAGCGCAATCTTCACTCCCCTGCTGCACAGGTTGATATGATCATGCTAGCCTCCCTAATCGGGATGCAATTGGGATTTGTTACGATCTCTTTACTTTATGGAAATACAGATGAGCAAAAATGGAAATAAATCGTAGCGACGTTCATTGCACGGTACAGTCAGTCTATTCGCTACGTACATGACTTCTATCAATTGAAAATAAAGTTATTGTTCCTGTTCTCTCCTACATAGATACAATTGCATGCACACTTCACAGCATATGTCCTGTTGGCAGGTACTCTATTCATTTGATTCTATTGATATATATA